GTTAAAGGGATGGTTGGCTCAACAGAGCTCTGACTGTTTTGCTTAAGTGAAACTCCACGGCAGACCCGAAGCCATATTTGTGCTTTGCAGCATATTTTATTTGCACATACAGTTGCTGAATATACATATGAACAGCCGCAGCGTCCTAATTCCAAACACCAGCAACAACAAACATAGGTACAATATTTGGCTTTATATTTTTGTGTTTTAATAATAATAATAATAATAATAATAATAATAATAATAATAATAATAATAATACATTTTATTTGAAAGCGCCTTTCAAAACACTCAAGGTCACTGTACATAGTAGAGTAAAAGCAACATAAAAGCAACATAAAAGCAAGAAGTTTACAGAATCATAAAAGCATAAGACAAAAACAAGTAAAATAGCAAAGTGGAAAGGTTATGTGGGATAAGCTATTTTGTACAAGTGGGTTTTGAGTTTGGACTTAAAGAGAGAGAAGGAAGAGATGTTTCTTAAATCAGGAGGTCGGGAATTCCAGAGTCGTGGAGCAGCTGAAAGCCCGGCTCCCCATGGTTGCAAGACGGGGGGAAGGGACGGAGAGTGAAAGGGAAGAAGAAGATCTGAGACAACGAGATGGGGCGGTGATCTTAACCAGATCAGAGAGATATGGAGGAGAGACATGATGAATAGCCTTAAATGTGTACAAGAGTATTTTGAAATTGATGCGATATTTGACCGGGAGCCAATGAAGCTGCTGCAAGGCAGGAGTGATGTGGTGGACAGAAGGGTCCTGGAGATGATACAGGCAGCATAGTTCTGGACGCGTTGGAGCTTGTGGGTGGATTTTTGAGTAAGACCATAAAGAAGTGAATTACAATAATCAGTCCGGGAAGTAACAAGGCTGTGGACAAGAATGGCATGTGGGGAGAGAAAAGGACGGAGACGATTAATGTTGCGCAATTGAAAATATGCAGACCGAGTGACGTTATTAATGTGTGAATTGAAAGATAGAGTACTGTCGAGGATGACACCCAAACTTTTCACAGAGGAAGAAATGAAGACCGGCGAGTTATTGATAGTAACAGAGAAACTGTTGGTTCTGGATAATGTTGATTTAGTGTCGACCAAGAGAAGCTCGGATTTATTACTGTTGAGTTTGAGAAAATTAGAAGACAACCATGAATTTAGTTCAGCTAAACAGAGGGCGACGGAGGAGGGGGGAAGAGCAGAATCAGGTTTAGTGGACAGATAAAGCTGGGTGTCATTGGCATAACAGTGGAAATGGATATTGTATTTACGGAAAATGTGTCCAAGCGGTAGAAGGTAGATAATGAAAAGAAGGGGCCCAGGACAGATCTCTGGGGCACGCCAGTGGTCAGAGGACAGGGCTGAGAAGTAAAGGATTTGAGTTAAATGAACTGAGTGCGATCAGACAAGTATGATATGATGAAGATATGGGTTTGTCCTCAATTACTTTGAAACAGTGGCCTCTGCTGTGATATCATTGTATTTTTGATGAAGTCTCACAAGTGTCAGCTTTATTTTGATATCAAGATGATTTACACAGTTTGTAATTGCTGAGAAATAGTCAGTTAGCTCTGGGCACGTCATTTTCAAGCAGGAATGTTAGGAATAACCCTGGGGCTTAACAAGTTAATAAAGTTCAACTTTTCAGTGTGTAACACCAGCCTGATTTTCTGTTCTCCTTGTGTACTCTGGGTAGAACCCGGCACTGGTGGATGCTCCACTGTCTCTCCAGCTTGCCGTCAACTCTCCGCCCAAAACCTCCATCAAGACGTCTGGAGCCACGGTTGTCATGACTGCCATCGTCAATGTGATGGTGCTGCCTCCAGGTCAGCCTCCGGTTCAGCTGAGCAGCATGACCATGGTACATACACACACACACACACACACACACACACACACACAGACGCACACACATTGGACACAACCAAAGCAGACTCTAAAGACTGTACACTGTGATACTGCTGATCACTGCGTCATGATAATGTTCTTAAGG